GGTGCCCGTCAGTTTTTGGGGAAATAAAATAAAAGGAAATACCAAAAATACACAAGTAATGATTTTAAAAAATGTTAAATTAATTTGAGGTTGCTTTGTAAACTTATAAAACTTGAAGAAGGGAACTCAATCGCCAATCATTAACATTTAAGTGTTGTGTGGTTAGCTTAACTCAAACTATTTTATGAAACGTGTTTTTTAAAATACTATTACTACAGCTGATTCATCCATTCAGAGGTAACAGTAAAGTTTAGACCTCCAGGTAATCGCGCATTAAGTCCACCGCGCAGAGATATATCCAATTTCTGCAAGAAATAACTATAACCCTGGAGTGACCCCCCCCCCACCCCCGCTCAGCCAAACAGTCCGAGAAGGGAGGTTTAACTTTACTTTTTTGGGGGGGGTAAGTGTTCTACGATGCTCGCAACTGCACACGATGATAAGCGTATGGGAAACATTAAATATTTTCAGTTGGTAGGAAATTTAGAATTTTGCCTGGGTGGTTTCCGAAGCCTACTCTTATCGATTTTGGACAACCAAGGGATCTTAAACGTGCGCAACTGCACATGTGGCTTCCGAGACTTTTTGCCCTTTTCCGAGAAGGCTAGGTGTTAGATCTTATCTACCATAAGATCAGGGGTGAGGCTGAAATACAGCAGTAAGAAGGAGCCATGGAATAGCAGTAGAAAAGCTGCAGAAAGAGTCAGGGGTCCAGAGGAGAGGCCCAATGAAGTGAAAGGGGGGGAGAAAGTCGAAGTGGAGACGAAAGCAGACAACAGAACATTGTTAGAGAGCAGGAACGGTGGGGAAAGGAGAACAATTTTGGAGAAGAATTTTCCGTCACTTTCCGGATTCCAGCCTAGGACCTATTGAATGAGACCTTAACCTTAACCTCTCGACAACGAGAGCCCCCCGAACTTTACTTTTACTACCCGTATTCCTTTCCGTATCTCCCCTCGAAGCTAAACGGCAACAGAGGATGAAATAGTAAAAAGTAAGTAAAGTATTCCTTTCCGTCTGACCTACATACCTGATACGTGAGCTTCTCCTCCTCCGCCTCCATCGGCACCATGGTGGACGGGTTCCTGCGGGGCGTGGACTTGGTGGGCGTGCCCTCAAAGCTTTGATTGACACGCCCATTGGCTTCGTGGAACTCGGCGGGTGATATGTCGTCATTCGGGTGGGCACTCTGTTGGTGGTGTTGGAGGGAGAAAGGAGTAATATACTAAGTGATGCTTGACACTCATTTAGGGATGTACAATGTTCCTTTTTTTTCTTTTTTTCTTTCTGTCGCTCACATTCCCGCTCCCTTACTCTTTCTCTCTCCTCTCTCTCTCTCTCTCT